GAATGCTCTTCTTGGAGGCAATACAATCCCTTTCCCTTGCAGAATGACCATGGGGAGGTCTAAGTTCCACGACTGGCTGGGGATTGGAACATACCAAGGAGAGGTCCTCCCAGGACTGCGACATGCGAAGGGCACTGTGGAGGAGCTTCTCTCCAGCAGCCTCCTTCCCCCTCTCATCCATCCCCTCCTCCTGCTTCAGCTGGCTCACCCGGCATGGTGTCCGTGCCCCACTCTGGAGGTTCATTCATAAAAAAACAAACATTTAAAAGTACTTCCTTGACACTCTAACCCTGCAAGAACGATGGACCCCTGTAGCTTACCCCAGGTGAAGACAGCGGACTGAAGCTCGCACTGAATCTACGTACTCGTGATTGCAGGAACCTGGCGGAATCCATCAGATATTGCTTAAAAATTGCCATCATTAATCCAGTACCTTAAAAAAAAGCATTAAAAGATTCCATCATTTATAATAACTCATTTCCTGATATATAAGGCTCCTTCACATACTTTGCACACATAAAAATACTGCAGGCATATAGTCTTTTCCTCCTAAAATTAATTTTGAGTACATATGACCACTTTATGTTCATAGAGAAAGGGCAGCTTTATTCAATAACCTAACATTTTGGTACCATATAACATAGAAATTGGTTCATTACATGAATAGCTAATTCAAGTAATGGCCAGTACTCCTACAAGAAAAAAATTTAATAAAACCAAACCTCATTAAATAGATTAATCATGATTACCAAAAATTAACATATATTTTACTTGAATTAAAATCGCCTATCAAAGAATCACATGTAAAAAAATAAAAAAACTGGTAAAATTGATTCCAAAACCACTAAAGTTCAAGTTTGTCCAAGGGGAAAAAGTGACATTCAACACTTGACTGCTCCTTGCAACATGTCTACAAATTTAATTTATTCAAGAACCTGAAATTCCCAAAGAAAAAACGAAATGATTCAAATTTTCAGTTACTCAACTTAAACAATAAAAAAAACTAACTTTTAAATAACAATAAAACTTGAGGCTCTCAAAGCTTTGCTTCCCATCCCCCCTCAAAATTTTCTGTTAAATCCTGCCCGAACCAACCCCATTATTTTTGCACTTCCAGGAAAATTTGCTTCATATCAGTAATTATAAAATATTGGATACATTGCTTCAAAATACTACTTGTCCATTCTTAAGAGCAAAATTTCTCAGTTTTCCACACTCAGACTACTAAGTTCTACTGTCATGCAATGAAGCAGGTTAGCTTGGACCCTGAAAAGCAGACGAAAAGCATACCGCGGTTCCTGGCGGAGCGTGGGGACGAGGGGCGGGGGGTGGTGCGGGGGAGCCTGGGCCTCGTGGATCATGGGGGCCGAGCTGGAGCGCTTCAGCCCGTTCACCATTCGCTCGAAGTCCATTTCCTCCCCTATTTTCCTACTTGTGTACTGAGAACATCATCTCCTGCTCATCTCTCATCAGCTTCTTGGCTGCAAAGTCTGCAGGAGAATCTGGATGGATACGAGCCCTGCACGATGCGTTTTACGCACCAAAACATACACATTAGGGTTGATGAATTCCTGCATTTATGGTCACTAATACTCATGTATTACTTGAAAATGTATAACATGAATGCTGCAGTCCTCTTTTAGCATAAGGAATGAGAGCTGAATGCATAAAAAAAGCAGTTAAAAGAGCATATAGGGAACAATCAAAAGATCTACCATTAATTAATAATGGAATTACTCTCAGAATCAGACAGTCTGAAAGATGAAAAGAGACATCAACAAAAGTAATTTTTTTTTCATGCAGCATTCTTCAATACAGAAAAGAACAAGTATTGAAACCACATTTCTCAAGTTGATGGAGGTGCAGGGCCAACGACAGCCCAAGATTGATCCAGGGTGAACCAACCCCTCCAGCACTGACACAACAAAAAAAAAATTAAAAACAGACACGACACATCTGATTAAGATGACTGTTCGGAATCCATTCAGACCATATCATTGAGAAAAGCAGCATATAAACAAGACTGGATGAGTCAGTGATCCAGAAACAGCTAAAACATGGAAGTCATTTGTACATGAGGCAGAGAAAGGCCATCAGGTCAGTCGGACGCAACCGTTTCGAGGAGTCTTTCGCGGGGAGGATTTGAGGAGAGGGGCGATGCCGCGCCGATGAGGCTCCTGTCGATCACCTGGCAACCCGAGGCGACGGGCGATGCCGCTCGGCAGAGGCGACCGTTGGCGACGGGTACGGTCGCGATGACGGGACACAGCTCCTCCTGTGCTCGCTGGATCAATTGTGTCAGGTTATCCATCCTTGACAGGAGCTGCAGGGAACACAGACAGATTCACTACTACTTCACTAATCTACTTCAGTTGGCAAAAATATCAGAGGGGGGCTCTGTCAATTACATCACACATACTGGCACAAAATGCAAAAATAAATGTAACATTTCTACTAAAGAGATTGAATACTATTAGGATCTGTCTTGGAATATGGAGCATTTGATCATAACATGAAAGTATAAAAAGGGCCAGTTTGAAATAATATGCTTAACAAACACTTGTTAATTGGCAGGGGATGGAATTCTATCATCATAAAACTCTGGTTAAAGAACAACTATTTTTACACCAGGTAACTGTTACATATAAAACCTCCAGTTCAAACCATGTCAATGACTTCAGGTCAATTACATTCCTTACATGAACAACATTATTCATTCACTTGTCACAAAGAAACAAAAAACAACCCCACAAANGACTGGCTGGGGATTGGAACATACCAAGGAGAGGTCCTCCCAGGACTGCGACATGCGAAGGGCACTGTGGAGGAGCTTCTCTCCAGCAGCCTCCTTCCCCCTCTCATCCATCCCCTCCTCCTGCTTCAGCTGGCTCACCCGGCATGGTGTCCGTGCCCCACTCTGGAGGTTCATTCATAAAAAAACAAACATTTAAAAGTACTTCCTTGACACTCTAACCCTGCAAGAACGATGGACCCCTGTAGCTTACCCCAGGTGAAGACAGCGGACTGAAGCTCGCACTGAATCTACGTACTCGTGATTGCAGGAACCTGGCGGAATCCATCAGATATTGCTTAAAAATTGCCATCATTAATCCAGTACCTTAAAAAAAAGCATTAAAAGATTCCATCATTTATAATAACTCATTTCCTGATATATAAGGCTCCTTCACATACTTTGCACACATAAAAATACTGCAGGCATATAGTCTTTTCCTCCTAAAATTAATTTTGAGTACATATGACCACTTTATATTCATAGAGAAAGGAGTGCTTTATTCAATAACCTAACATTTGGGTACCATATAACATAGAAATTGGTTCATTACATGAATAGCTAATTTAAAGTAATGGCCTCCTCCAAGAAAAAAATTTAATAAAAGCAAACCTCATTAAATAGATTAATCATGATTACCAAAAATTAACTTATATTTTACTTGAATTAAAATCGCCTGCTAAAGAATCACATGTAAAAAATTAAAAAAAACTGTTAAAATTGATTCCAAAACCACTAAAGTTCAAGTTTGTCCAAGGGGAAAAAGTGACATTCAACACTTGACTGCTCCTTGCAACATGTCTGCAAATTTAATTTATTCAAGAACCTGAAATTCCCAAAGAAAAAACGAAATGATTCAAATTTTCAGTTACTCAACTTAAACAATAAAAAAAGACTAACTTTTAAACAACAATAAAACTTGAGGCTCTCAAAGCTTTGCTTCCCATCCCCCCTCAAAATTTTCTGTTAAATCCTGCCTGAACCAACCCCATTATTTTTGCACTTCCAGGAAAATTTGCTTCAAATCAGTAAATATTAAATATTGGATACATTGCTTCAAAACACTACTTGTCCATTCTTAAGAGCCCAATTTCTCAGTTTTCCACACTCAGACTACTAAGTTCTACTGTCATGCAATGAAGCAGGTTAGCTCGGACCCAGAAAAGCAGACGAAAAGCATACCGCGGTTCCTGGCGGAGCGTGGGGACGAGGGGCGGGGGGTGGTGCGGGGGAGCCTGGGCCTCGTGGATCATGGGGGCCGAGCTGGAGCGCTTCAGCCCGTTCACCATTCGCTCGAAGTCCATTTCCTCCCCTATTTTCCTACTTGTGTACTGAGAACATCATCTCCTGCTCATCTCTCATCAGCTTCTTGGCTGCAAAGTCTGCAGGAGAATCTGGATGGATACGAGCCCTGCACGATGCGTTTTACGCACCAAAACATGCACATTAGGGTTGATGAATTCCTGCATTTATGGTCACTAATACTCAGGTATTACTTGAAAATGTATAACATGAATGCTGCAGTCCTCTTTTAGCATAAGGAATGAGAGCTGAATGCATAAAAAAAGCAGTTAAAAGAGCAGATAGGGAACAATCAAAAGATCTACCATTAATTAATAATGGAATTACTCTCAGAATCAGACAGTCTGAAAGATGAAAAGAGACATCAACAAAAGTAATTTTTTTTTCATGCAGCATTCTTCAATACAGAAAAGAACAAGTATTGAAACCACATTTCTCAAGTTGATGGAGGTGCAGGGCCAACAACAGCCCAAGATTGATCCAGGGTGAACCAACCCCTCCAGCACCGACACAACAAAAAAAAAATTAAAAACAGACACGACACATCTGATTAAGATGACTGTTCGGAATCCATTCAGACCATATCATTGAGAAAAGCAGCATATAAACAAGACTGGATGAGTCAGTGATCCAGAAACAGCTAAAACATGGAAGTCATTTGTACATGAGGCAGAGAAAGGCCATCAGGTCAGTCGGACGCAACCGTTTCGAGGAGTCTTTCGCGGGGAGGATTCGAGGAGAGGGGCGATGCCGCGCCGATGAGGCTCCTGTCGATCACCTGGCAACCCGAGGCGACGGGCGATGCCGCTCGGCAGAGGCGACCGTTGGCGACGGGTACGGTCGCGATGACGGGACACAGCTCCTCCTGTGCTCGCTGGATCAATTGTGTCAGGTTATCCATCCTTGACAGGAGCTGCAGGGAACACAGACAGATTCACTACTACTTCACTAATCTACTTCAGTTGGCAAAAATATCAGAGGGGGGCTCTGTCAATTACATCACACATACTGGCACAAAATGCAAAAATAAATGTAACATTTCTACTAAAGAGATTGAATACTATTAGGATCTGTCTTGGAATATGGAGCATTTGATCATAACATGAAAGTATAAAAAGGGCCAGTTTGAAATAATATGCTTAACAAACACTTGTTAATTGGCAGGGGATGGAATTCTATCATCATAAAACTCTGGTTAAAGAACAACTATTTTTACACCAGGTAACTGTTACATATAAAACCTCCAGTTCAAACCATGTCAATGACTTCAGGTCAATTACATTCCTTACATGAACAACATTATTCATTCACTTGTCACAAAGAAACAAAAAACAACCCCACAAA